GGTTGACTGGTGGTATTATTACCCGAAATGGACAAGGGTTCTGCTAACTAGAGGTGCTGGCGGGCGCGGTGTGGATGTCATCACTGATCACGAAGGTGAAGTCGTGGGCATTGCGGTGAGTCAGGCACAGCACAACTGATTCACTAGCTCACGAGCGGTCACGTGCATGATGCAGCTGGAATCGCGGAGGTGGCTCAGGTGTACACGATGGTGGATCGAATCATAGGCAGCCAAAGGCTGGAAGACGGTGGGAGCTCGAGACACCGAGTTGTCTGTTGTCCCTTGTCGAGGATCCTGGCGCTGCCCCTGTCAGATCGATACTCCTTGGCAGGGAAGGCTTCGCAAAGGGCCATGAGGGGTCGGACCTGCCCATAATCATTAAGCCCGAGACGAACTGCAGTGTGGCACAACCTGTCCAGGTGCACACGACACGAATCGAGTCTCACGTCATGAGTGTAGTGGCACAGGTGGCTGCTGTGCCTGACGAGCATGGACGTTTGATTGAGCGCCTGGCTTCAGCCGTCGCTACCTCCTTCAGCGAGGCTCCAGCCCTTGTCTTACAGCTCGCTCAAGAGAGCAGCCTGTTGGAGAGAGGTCGGAGCCCTGAACGCCTTGTATCTCATGGACATTTGCAAGGCGCAGCCCTCAGTCGCTCGTAGAATCTCCCGCCCTGCGAGTGTCAGGACTTGGTGCCTGGCTTCAAAGACAAAATTCCAGACGGCCGTCTGGAGAAAGCTGCAGAGCTGTCTCCTCACAGCCGTGCAAAGGCAGAAGGCGCAGACCTGACTGGACGTCGCTGAGGGGAGAGCTGCATTTCAGGACTTCGTCCTACAGGGCCAGAAACCTCCAGAGCCTGTTGCTCAGATCCCGTTCTCCAGAGCAGAAGCTTCAGCATGTATCCACGAGGAAACGCTTGCATCCGGTGGTGCTTGTGGTTGGTCAGCTTAGGTGGGCACGAGCTGAACAGGACAAGGGCACAGTCATTCTGCTGCCAGTGGGGCCTCTGCATCAAGACTGGAAGGTGTATGAAGCCATTGCGTACCTAACTGATGCCAAGGAAGAAGAGGCAGACTTGCTGACTGAGACTGGCCGAGCAGTAGGTATGCTGGCCAGCTTGTCTTGACATTGCAAGTGCGCCAGAGCTCTCTTCCCAGACTGAGACAGGTGATGCAACCAAGTTCGTTGGTGGTGCTGCGTTTGGAGGCAAAGTGGGTGCCAAAGATTTTGAAGTCTGCGCTGGCAACAGCACGGATGTTCATGCAGGTGTGGGCCTTGTCACTGACACGCTGGGTATCACGAAGAATGCGGAGGTAGCAGAAGTGTCAGAAAGTGCTGGTGGTGTTGTGATTCACTCAGGACAAGCTGGCTTCGACGGCTGAGGAGAAGCGGGTCCTAGTGCAAATGCTTGTCTCTCTTTTGGCTCTCACTCCCGCTCTCGGTCTCTCTCTCGCTGCCTTTTGGCCAGGATGCAGTGGACTTGGTCGGCTCGGGAGTTAGCAGTGTGGTGGGGGCCGTTGACCAGGTGCCGAGTGCCGAGTGTGGCACGGACTCTCCCAGCGTGACTGCAGACTTGAGCAGACTGCTAGAGCTGCCACGTAGGGCTTGGACGGTACAGCAAAAGATCTTCAGCACAAAGGCCTGACCAAGTGCAGTTGAGTTGCACGCGGAAGGTTTCAGAGCTAATCTCCCAGTCACCCGTGTGGGCAGGAGTTGTCGGAACTGTCGGAGATGGCGTGGCTGATGCTGCGAGAATCTGAGATCGTGCTAGCTGCTTTTCCTTTTGTGTTCAGGATACAAGTTGGCCAGCTTTGGCAGATGTGGTGGCTGTCCACTCACGCTGCTCAAGACGTTTGAGTGTGCAAAGATGTGCAAAGCAGGAGGATGCACTCTGACTCGGGATGGCTTCACAAGCGGGCATCATGGCGGTATTTATGCAGAGCGCGACTGTTGAAGGATGACCTGGAACCCGCGATGGGCGGTGTCGTGCGGCGACAGATGTCTGTTGGTGACACTTGAGCTGTAAACTGAAGACGACATGCTGGAAGCAACCTACGTGTTTCAAAGGTTGAAGGAGGATTGGGCTTTAGGCCATTGCGGCCCAGTGTCTGGGTAGGCAGATCTGCAACTTCAGAGGAACTTTCAGGGTGCCCGCAATCAGCTGGCAGGGTGGAAAGAGTCTTCGGATTTTTCCCGCATGTAACAGGCATAGTGAGTTTTCTTGTGCGCAAGTATCCGAGCAGAGATCAGTGTGGGCTCGAGACTGAACCGATACCCCTCGGACGAAACTTTCAGCAAAAAGAGTAGTGCCGGGCAATGGGATCTGACAGAGTACGATGGAGGCAGCGGTGGACACCCCTGGTCTTCCTTGCTGCCTTTAGGACCACATGGGCAAGCCATACTGGAATGGAGACTGGAATCGAGCAGGAATTGGAAGACATGCAGGCTGCGAGACATGAACATGAATTAGGAAAGGTTTCGCAAGCGTACTGGCAGAAGCAGAGATGTGTCCGATGCAGTTCGGATGTCATACCAAAACTGAAGCACGTGTCAGAACTACATCAGGCAGACGACTGCGTCATACTGCGTCATTCCTACTACTCAATGTGTTTCGAACGGAAGGCGAATGCAGGCGATTGGTCATATGGGTTCCCCCGACAGTGGGTTGCAGCAAGATTGAAAACCTGTGCATGTGAAGGCGGCTTCAAAGTACTGTCACCTTGTTCTGGGAATGCGGAGGCACCAACTCAAACACGCCACTCAAGCCACAAGATCACTTGAAACCAACACAACATAACGCTTCGGCGTGCACATCTTGCCCCACTTGAAGCGTTCAGGTTGGGCGCCGATGGTACCACTTGTGTCACTTGCCATTCAAGGCGACCACAGTGCTTGAAAAACTCGTCATTCAACCCTTCTGGGCGGTTCAGATACAACTGTGAATGTCGTATCCGCTGGAACACGTTTGTCATGCTTGGTAATCAAATCGGAAACTGCACCTACATGCAATATTTTGGAACCATGCCCTTGCAGACTCAGTCTAAGAGACTGTGTTGTTGGCTTTCCGATTGAAGAAATCCGGGCGGTACGGGAACTGTCATCGAAGTGTAGCCGCGGCTTGCAGGTGACGCTCCTGCAAGCCAAGATTCAGCTTGGAAGAGTGCTGGTCGAGACAGACGAAAGACGCGATTTAGGCAGGCTTTGGTCTACAGTGTCCACAGTGCTTCAGTGGCCGCAGACCAGTTTTGTGCGTGACTAGGCTCGAGTGCAAGCACCTCCGAGTTCCTTCGTGGAGTCGAGCAGCTGGAGGCCCGGGTGACGGCGCTGTCATCTCGGCTGGAGCGGATGAAAACGCGGACGCCATGGCTGCTTCGAGTGTATGCTCAGGGTTTCCCTTTTTTGTTTCGACGCACTGGTACTTGTCGAGGGCTGCGAAGGGTCACCGCTTGACTCTGGCTGCGCGATAGGCTTCGACGTGTCTTCTCTGGGGGCTCTGCAGTAAGCAGGTTCTTTCAACCCTTCGATTGCCTTGTGGGCATTGTCCGAAAAATGGGCGACTTCTTGGGGGACCTGGTGCTTCATCCGCGAAGCTTTGCCTGGCAGCAGCTTGGGGTCTTCTGCCTTTGTCTTGCAGGCACATAGAATAAGAATCCTACACTGCTGCACCCTGTCCTGAATAGGAATTCCTAGCTTCGTTGAGATCTCATAATTAGTGTTGAACATACTTGCGAATGACTGCAGGCGTTTGTGTTGGGGCCCTGCAGCTGAAGCAGCACCGCTTTCTCAGCGACAAATCTGCGGGAGCTTCCGCGACTGCGATGGGACTTTCCATAGGCTTCCCAACTGAAATACTGAGACTCCGGATGGTTTTCTCTGGTCCCGAGTGCAACGCAATGCTAAGGCTTGGCCTCAGTCTTCGTTGCGGGTGCAATCTGCCATCCCTTGATCCCCTGGCTTCTGATCATCGTTTGGTGTTGGATTCATCGGGCTACACGTCCGATGCCGTAGCGAAAAGTAGAGAATTGGAGAGAGATGGCTTGCTCTGGGACAAAACCGACCGCGTGTTCCCTTTGGGTGCTTGCTGCATATCAGCAGATGCAATGACTTCTGCTCGTTCAGGTCGACATTGTGTCAGACTTCGTGAGTGACACCGTGACTGGCATTGCAGATGGTGTCCATGGCATCCTCAACTATGTAGACGACTCGGTGGAGCTGTGGACCTGGCTGTCATCAGTTTCCAGCCCTCAGACCCAAGCATTGCTCTCGTTTGGCGGTCGTTTAGATGCGCTCTTCTGCTTGCAGCAAGTTGCTCCCATGCGGATCCCAGTCAGACATTAGTATATGCAACTGAACGTAGGTCGAATCACGAGCGGATTGTTCCACTATGTGGACATCACATCCCCCTGGCCTCCTGATTCTCCTCCATGGCCAAACCTCAACAGATCTCAGCGAAGAACAAAAACTCACACGAGCTGGCTGAACGATCAAGTGATGTCCAGTCAAGGCCACCGGCACGGAGGAAGGGGCAGCCGTGCCCGCACAAGAAACACATCTTGTGCGAGTCCTGGTGATGCATGTGCCCGGTCGCTCGCAGAACCTATCGCGGCTTAAGGTCAAAATTGTGATTGCAGAGCTTTTCGGTGCCGAGAAGCTGCAGACTAAGAGAGCAGATTGTCCATGTTTGAAGTTTGGGTTCACAGCCGGGACGACACCAAGTTGTTTGCGAGGACACTTGGGCTCCGGATAGAGAGCCGCGTTGTTACCGCCTTCACGAAAGAAGAGGCCTCCCTGCAGCCTAGTTACATCTTTTTGCGAAGCTGCAGCTTCGCTCAAACTGCCGAGGCAGTCCGATTGGGCTGGAGACTTGGTGACTGCATTCTCGCAGTCGGTCGTCAACGAGTCTCGACGCAGGCAGACAAGCCTAAATCTGCAGCATGGTAGCATCCTTTGCGGTCTGTGGAGGAAGCGCTGCTGACTGGAATCTCCAGCTGCAAGGAGGTCTGCAAAGTGCGCAACTGTCGGATACAGATTTGATTGACCGCCAGGCATTGCGAATGAACGGGACTCCGATCGAGTTTCTCGTTGAGAGAATGGGTGCGAGACCCTAAACTGGCGAAACCGCTAGGAGGCTATTTAAACTAGATTCCTCCAGTTTCAGAGCCGCTGCGCTATGGAAAGCGTTTCCGCAACTGGATAGGACAACTGAGCAACCCCGTGCCGGCAAGGCCCTGATAGGACTCGGGAAGGAGTGGCTGCAAAATCCGCAGTTGGCCGTCGGCTTTGACCCGCTAATTGCCCCATCTGCCCCGTGCTGTTTGAGCCATCGCATGGCGGCATGGTGCGAGTTTTCCGTGGCCGGATGGCCCGTCCCGCCGAAGCGGGCCAAAGATGCCAACGCAAGACTCAAAACGAACCGGCGCCGGGGGTTCGAGCTCCAGATGATATTCACGATCTCACTGCACCTGACAGCTTGGTTTTTGTGCTTTCATTCATGTCTCGTAGCTTGGTATGGGCTCTTTAGGAACGGCCAACCTTTTCATTAATCAGCGTGCAGAGGCCGGCGCAGAACCCACTCTGGCGTGCGAGTGTGTGGATTTCATCATGCTGCATCTTGGCACTTGCAGGCTTGTGGAGAGTGTCGACCAATGAACTTCACAGCTGTGCAGGTTTGGCTGTCTCAGCTGTTTGTGTTGTGGCCAGTGGCGGCTTCCTTCAGTGATGATATCGAGTTGTCTAGGGACTGAACAAAACTGGCATCCCATTGTCAATGCCGGGGCCTTGCTTGAACTGGTAGCATCAGACCTGCATTTAGATCCCTGTGCCATGCAGCAGAAGCTTGAAGAAAAGCATTTGCAGTTTCAGGCCGATGCCTTCGATGTCCGTGTTTGATGAGGCATTCCCGGAGAGACGCCCTGCTCTCCAGACTCTGCTTGTAGCAGGCCAGCACTGGCGACGATTCCGAGGCTTCACGTCCTGGCGTTGCCACCCGAAGGGACCAAGGTAGACCAGATTTCACATGACAACGACCGATGCCTGCTCTCTTGGTTCAAACAAGCTTTCTTCAGCCGAAGACGGGGGGCAGGGTGCAAACAGCAGAGCCCGGGAAAAAACACGCTGCAGCCTTGTAGCTTCGCGGAAGACAGGGCGGCTCACACGGCTTAGAATACACACGCGAAGGTCATGTATGCCGACACTCTCTCACACCTCGCCGCTCCGAATCTGAAAGCTGCCAGACCGCCTGTCCCGAACACACGCAGGTTGCCAACCTTGTAGCTAAAACCTGAACCTGCATCGTGTCTCAACAATGGCGAGTCTTCCAGGAGGACGACCAGGAACTGTGAAAGCCTGGATCGAGGAGCGTGGGATGGGCTTCATTGCTCCGGCCGATGGGAGTCCTGATGTTTTCGTGCATCGCAGCAATCTCCTGGACGGCAATGCCTTGGTGATTGGCTCAGAGGTTGTTTTTGAGCCAGGCTGGGACGACTCCAAAAGCAAACCCATCGCAGCAAAATGTTCTGGAGCCACTACAGTCACGACATTGACTGGCGGAGCTCCAAGAAGGGTTGGATCTGGACCTCCGCTTACAAACGGGCAGCCCGGCACTGTGAAAGCCTGGCTGGACGAGCGTGGCATGGGATTCATTTCGCCAGCGGATGGGGGCCCGGATGTGTTTGTGCACCGGAGTAACTTGCTGGATGGGAATTGCCTTTCTGTCGGTGCCCAAGTCATGTTCGAGGCAGGCTGGGATGAAAGCAAGGCCAAGCCCATTGCCAAAGCGGTCAGTGGTGCCGCTATGGCTCCGACGATGTCGGGAAAGGGCGGTTGGGGTGCTCCGTCGATCCCCAACGGGCAGCATGGAGTGGTCAAGGCTTGGATTGAGGCGAGAGGCATGGGATTCATTACACCAGCCGACGGCAGTGCAGACGTTTTCGTCCATCGGAGCAATCTAGTAGATGGCGATGCGCTGATTGTTGGAGCTCCAGTCGTCTTCGAAGCTGGTTTCGATCCGCAGAAGGGCAAGCCCATAGCGAAGGCACGGACAATCGACGGACCTATCAATCGTGATGAACTGTGTAATGCAAAGTAGGCCTGAATTTTGTTCACCGGCCGGGGAAGCTCGACCCTGCAGGTGTGCGCAGGCGCTACGCAAGGCTTGTTCTGTGCTGTGCATGTCGCTGTGTGGAAGAGCTTTCTGCAAGGTTTCCCGTTGTAATGTAGGCGCCTTCATATCAATAGGAACATGTGGTCAACTTCGAAAAAGTCGGATTTTAATTTTCAGCTCTCGCCTATTGACCGCTCTGGCCCTCGCACCTACAGCCGCGGTGGCCAGGAAGTGGATCACACACTCCGATGCCGGAGAAACACACAAGCCCAGGGGGTGCCCGCCCGATCGCCAAGGATCTCACCCACCAGCAGGATGCTCTTCACACCTCGTCACATCCGTCACCGGTCGACCGCTCGTGACGGCTTTGTGCTTCGAGCTGCGCTTATATGAGAATGACCGGACGCAGCGCAACAGCGCATCGAGGTAGACATGCAAGGCGATCAACAGCGAGCTCCTGTTTTTCCATTCTCCATCTCAACATTGCGCAGGACCGTATCTGGTCCGTTCACAATATTCAATGGGGGGAGGGTGGGAGCCCTCCCCCACGCCACCCCGCAATCGATTGATTTAGAGCCAACAAGGACAAGGAGTNNCCCCCCCCCCCCCCCCCCGCACCGCAAGGTCGCAGCAATATTGCCTTCCCGTTTCCATCAGGTACAGTAGCTTGTGTTTGCAGTTGAACGCGTGACTTGGGCTTTTTGCAGATTTCAAGTTGCATGGCATGGTCCGTACTGTGGGCCGTGAGAGCACGCCTCCAAGCACATGAGAGGGCAGGGTGACAAGCCCAACACAATAGAGGCTCCTAGACTCAGGGGCGTGGCTTTTGCTACTCTTGTGCTATGAATATTATAGCGGCGGAGCGTCCGAACATGCGAGCAAGCATTGCTGTATTCAGGTGCAGCCATGGGCTTCGGTGGCCCCGCGAGTGCAGGTAAAGGCAGCCAGGGACATGCCAACGGTCCCGAGCCGATGACTGGGGTCATGAAGGTGCACTGCCAGATCATGTTGGCAGTTTTTTTGCCGAAGTTAGTGTTGACCACACCTTTGGCTGCGATGTCAGGTCTGGTTTGCGGACAAGGGCTTCGGTGTCCGGACAGCAAGTTGTCTTTGGATTTCTCAGGACCATTGATGAAGGACCCATGCTCATGCTTAGCTCATTCTCATGCTGGACTGGCAAGGTTTCATAACACTGGACAATGGGATGGGCGATGCGTTCGTCGGCAGCAGCGCCATTCCGGCAGGCATGGTCCCTCTTGACGGCCGCTAGGTTGCAGTGTGGTCAGGTCATACCACGGTGCCATGCATTCTGCCATGTGTCTTTGATTAAGCATTGGCACAGCCTGCACAATGGTTTCCACACGAAACGTATGCGCTGCTTAAGCTGCCTTCTGCCTTTGAGGCAGGCCGCCCCCATCAACCCTCAGCCACGGTGACGAACCGAAGTTGTTGTGCTTCCGAGAGAAGACTCTGCAGGTATGCCGGTTGTCTTCACGGCATCGTGGAATCCAGAGAAGCAGAAGTTCACAGCTCTGGAGGCATTGGCATTGCAAATTCGGGGACTGGCGGTCGGTCTCTGATTCAAGCTATCATGTACAATGAGCATGGAACTTGAGAAAAGGCTTTGTTGAGCTCTTGCAGAGACGCGAGTTGAAAGCTCCAGACCACCGGTGATGTTCAAGCTGTTCTTACTTGGTCTGCGGTGAGTGCAAACGAGGTGTTGCAACTGAACGCATGACCAAGCTGTATGTCAGCATCGGGAACACGGGACAAGCGACACTGTTTCTGCCGTCTGTCACCTTTTGATGGTGCCCACTCAGGCTAGCTGAGACAATGTCTTCGTGCGCATGCCACTGCCATTCTGTTTGAAGCCTAAATTTGTCTGGTTTTGCCCACACCCATGAAGCTTTAGGCCCTCAGACGTGCCGCTCCAGCAGAAAGCAAAAGAGTTCTTGACTGCTGGAGACTGCGAGGGTCAGGACTCCATTCCGCTGGTCTCGCCGTCACTCCGGGTTCGGTTTGTGTCTGCGGCGCTAGGATGTGGCACTTCCAAGCAAGATCACGTCTTGTACCTTGGGGTTCAGGGTCCAGGTGGAACTTCTCGGAGCCATGAACGTTTTCGACACCTCTTCAGTTTTCGTGTACTCGTTCTGGCAGCGCGGTGACCATGCGATCGCACCGCGTGAGGAAAAAATCCTGTAGCTATGCACAAAAGAAAAGTGGAAGTGTCGATTCTCTTGGCTTATCTCGGCATACCCTTCTCATGAATGCACCGGAACTTGTGTGTCAGTATCGCAATACGTGCCCTCCCACCATCCTTAAATGCAGGACGTCGGGGTCTCGAAACGCTGGGTCCGGTACCGCCATGCAGTTTAAAGCCGCGGGAACTTTCGTTGGTTCCAGGAGGTGGTGTCTTTGATGTTGTGTAGACATGGAAAGTCATTCATAAAAAAAATTGCTGATTTTCATGTGGCTGCATGACATACCATCATCATACATATGCTGAATGGGAAACAGAGGGGGTGGATTCGCAGGCTTCCAGGTGCAGAAGAGAATGCTAAGCAGCAATTTGGCGGAAGAAGCCAACCTTTCAAATGCCCCGGCAGATAACCAAGAAAGTACTCTCGTGCGAACACTGCAGTGCCCCCACCTTTCAGAACAAGTGGAACGAGTATCTTCACCTCTCTTCACACTCGAGGGCGGGTCTTGTCACGCGGGGACCTGTCCTGTGACTGTGATTCTGAGCTGCCGGCAGGTTTTGTGAATAAGTCCTGACTTCCATTCAAACAACCTCTGCGTCTCCGCACCCTGCAGATCCTTCCGGACGCCAAAGGCAAGGGCAAGGGATCAAGCGCAGCAAGCGTGAGCTGCAGCCTGAGATCTGCTGCAAAGTGTGTGGAGGACATATATGTGCAATGGTATGGCTGGTAGAGAGAGGTTTGCGAGACAGGCTCTGTACAGGGTGTGGAGGTCCAGGGCACTTCGAGTCACGTGGGCGAGACGATACAAGGTACAAGGGCCATCAAGGGCCACAGATCGCTAGTAAACTCCCGACTCACATTGCACGGTCCGCAAGCCCAGCATGAGCTTGTTGCAAGCACAGCGAGGCGGGGAGCTTCCATGTGACAACTGCTTCGTCACTGGCCTTCCGCTTCTTGGTGCTGTTGATCCGTCATCAACGGTGGGAGGAGGGGCACTTGGGCCCGTCTCCCAAGGCTAGACATGAACGAGGAGAAGCTTCAGAATCTCTTCGGCACCTACGGAAATGTGGTTAGCTGCAAGGCATGGGGATCGGAGGTCTCCGTCGAAGCTTTGAGTCGGCTGTTGCAGGTGCTCCCAGGGGAGGGCCGACCGGACAGGGCTGCCTTGGTCCGCTTCGCCACCGTCGACGAAGCCGCTTGGGTCGTCGAGAACGTGGTGCCGGCTCGCTTTTTGCCGGTTCAATCGTGGCGGTGTTCAGGGTTATTTTTGCTGACAGGTGAGTGGCACACGCCCCCCCGGGCTCGAGACCCCGGTGAGCGTAGCTGGGCTGGAATGTGATCCGTTTCTGCCGCCGGCGAGGTTTCTGAATTCCAAGGTTCGATATGCGGCTTCGAAATCTCATGGCTCGAGCAGTCAAATCTTTCAGGGTCCAGGCCGGGACCCGTAAATTCACAACGCAATTCATGATGAACCACACACAGCAATTCAGAATGAAGGCAAAGGTGGCTGTGGTCTTGGTGGAGGTGGCGAATATGGCCGAGTTGTTCCACCTCCAGCCTCACAAGTACAGGCTGCGCAAATCGGCTCCTTGGCACGGAAGCGACCAAGTGTCTGGCATCTGACACTCCGACGCCTGAATGCGACCAGGCAGAAGCATCTTAGGCAGAAGGTGGAATCAGTCTTGACAACACGAGGCAATTGGTACAGGCTTCTGTTGATCTGTGTCTATCCGAGCCTGCTTTGGTCTCCCTCTGCGGATTTCTGTTCTGCTTGGAGTAGGCCAAAAACTTGGCGGCTGACTGGAACTACTGTAGTGCATGGTGCCAAGTCCGGATCACGTGGCCATGCTTTCTGTTTACCGCACGTGTTGAGCAGCAGGTTTTCTCACACTGACCCAACAGCAAGTAGCACTTACCCTGTCTCCAGCACTGATCGCGTTGAATCCACGAGTCGAAAGTTTTCACCGGCCGCCGCAAACTCTGGATGGAGCGGGACGCCTACTGCAGCTTCAGTGCTTGTCGGTGCAATCATGGCATGCTTCTACTCATACCCGTCCTTAAGCCGCTGTACGAGCTTTTCGAACGCCTGTAGCACATCGATCTTGCGTCCAGCTGAGTGCGTTGACGCATCCCGGTCCACGCAGCATTGCAAAGGCCCAGTCCATGTTGCCGAGGCTTTCAGTTCCAAAGACCAGTGCGGCGTCCTTCGAATTCAACCTTCGGAAATCACATGCGTCGCTGAAGTCTCGGTCCGTTGCAAACCACCAATCGAGGAGAGAGGGTTGAAACCTCAACAAAGATCAGAGAACATCAACAAGCATCTGCAAGAACATCAAAAAGATTATGTGGTAACCTCACGGAGGCTCCGAGAACATCAACAAGCATCTGCAAGAACATCAAAAAAGATT